CTGGAGGTCAACCCTCACTAGACATCAGAGAATTCACTCCAGTGAGAAACACTATGAATGTAACGAATGTGGGAAAACCTTTGGCTGGAAGTCAAACCTCACTGTGCATCGGGGTATTCACAGAGGTGAGAAACCATATGAATGTCAGGAATGTTCTACCGTAATTCAGACCTCACCAGACATCAAAGAACTCACACTGGTGAGAAACCATATGAGTGTGTTGATTGTGGAAAAACTTTTTTCCAGAAATCAACCCTCAGGATGCATCAGGATATTCACACAGATGAGAAGCCATATGAATGTAAAGAATGTAGAAAAACTTTCTCCCATATGTCAGTCCTCACTGTACCTCAAAGAACTCACACTGGTGAGAAACCCTACGTATGTAGTGAATGTGGGAAAACCTTTGGCCAGAAGTCACACCTCGGCAGACAATCAGAGAATTCACACAAGGGAGAAATCTTGTATGGGAGAGAGTGACTATGTGATCTCCAAAAACCATTCTCTTTTCTTTGGAACACACAGATAACCTGCATTTCTCAGCGTCCTAGTATTGTGTGCAGGGCCATGTAACACTGAGCTCTGTCCAGGGGAATATGGACAGAAATGATGAACATTACTTCCAGACCTGGCAACAGGAAATTGCTAATATGGTCTTCCCTGATTTTTCACACCATGTGTGACTAATGTTCAGACAATCCCCAGGGTGATCCTGGGGGCCAGGAAATTGACAAGCTCAGTATGATTTAAGAAGTCTCCCTTTTATACTTAGATGAATGAGAAATAAGTACCTGCTCTGTTGAGCCATTGTGTGATCTCTCTCCATTATAACAGCCCATTCTAGCTAATTCACTTTATGAAATTCTGAAAGAAATTAATTATCAGTGCTTGTGTATAACAACATTTGCACAGGAGAGAAACTTGTGTTGTCATCTTTTAGCCCCAAGTCACTGTTAAAAAGTCAGACAGTGTCTTATCAGTCAAGCACATCTTAATGAACACTGAGAATAAAGTAAGTCTTTATAAATCTTTTTAATGCGCCAAAGCTTTCTCTAAGACTTCCAACTTTTTTACTTCCCAGTATTTAAACAGAAGGGAAAACTATTAATTTATGTAATGTGGATGTAAATTTTCAAATAGAAATGTTAGATATACTATCAAGAATATTTTTAAGCTATTTGACAAAACAGTCATTAAATTTGAGAGGTGATATTCTCTGCTCGGGGACATTTGTCTATGTCTGGAGACAGTTTTAGTTGTCGTAACTGGAGTTCAGGAAGGATGCTGGTTAAGTGGCCTACGATTTACAGTGCAGCCCCCTCAAGTACGTAGGATGTACACATACAAGTATTCTGTAGTAAAAGAAATGTTTCGTAATGGAAGCCAGCATAACTGGGCAGAGAATATATACATTTACAGCAGTCATCTTCCACATTAAATACTATCCTCTTTTTGTCTTGTTGCATATATTAGTTCTAAAGTACATACTTTTCACCTATTTTTCTAGTGTATGTAAATTTACATGACCATCACTACTAAATTGTTCTTAAGATAATTCTTTTCCTAAAGTTCGAGGCTAACGTAGAGCCAGCCAGTGTGTCACATAGAAACGTTTCTATCAAAGTGCACTCATCAGGCACGTAATTTTTAAAAACTTAAGTCTGAATTAATATAAAAAGCTGTAGACAATAGTATTCATTCTATTCAGTATAAAGCAGTCCCTCGGGGGAAAATTTCCCCTTTGTTGCTGTTTCTCTGATCTTTAAATGGGCCAGCAGCGTAATTATGAGTTTGTGTGCCAAGTGCCGTGTAACTGGGGAACGTCTGTGTTTGTGTTTGCAGTGTGGAGCACTACACTGCGCCTTGCCAATAGTGGCAACGCAGTTAGTTCTGGCTCCACTTGTTATGTAAATAACTTGACTGTAATAGCCTGTCTGGGCTACTGCTTCTTCACATGCAAGAACGGAGTGATAGTAGACCCTGCCTCAAAGGGTCACTGTTAGGACTGTAGTAGCTTATTTTACATTGTTATAATGGAGTGCCTGAGGCTCAGTCATTTATGAGGAAAGAGGTTTATTTGGCTTATGGTTCTGCGGATTGTAAAAGAAACATGGTTTCAGCATCTACTTTTGGTGAGGGCCTCGGGAAGCTTTCATTCATGATGTAAGGCAAAAGGAGCCAGGGCGTCATGGTGAGAGGGTGTGCCAGTCTAGTCTTTCAGTTCCTTCACTCCGTGAACCTGCCCTGGCAAAGGTCACTAATTTCCACCATGCTGCAAAAAATGGCATCCTCATGTCCTCACTGATGGGACTTCTCTGCTGCATCTGATACTTCCATGAGGTCATTCCTCCCTCGGTGATCCTAGGCTGCCTCTCGCATTTGAGAAAAAGGCTTGATTGTTGTTGACACTCCTGTTCACACCCTAAATGAGACATTTCAGTCCCCTTTGAGATCCTGGGTAAAGAAGACAGGCATTTGTTGTATGTCCGGGTACCAGAATGGAGCAGGAAAATGAAGACAGGAGAAGGCATGGCATCACATCTGTGTCCATTCCCATCCTGAATGTTTTTGGTTCCTAGAGGAGCTGTGGACCTGAAGCATTGGACCTTTGCATGTCAGAACATGAGGAGTGTTGGCAGCAGGTCCTGGTGACAAAGGCTGACACCAAGAGGGTGAGTTTCATCACTCTCTTGAAAATGTCTGTGTGCCCATATGTGCTGGCTACCATTTCCACTATTTACATATTAATCATGATTTTAAAGACTTAGAGTTTTTAAACTTTTGGGTCATCTCTGTGTCTGCTTCTATTGATATCTTTGTCTCGACTGTGGGTTGTATTTTTATTTTTTTTTATTTTTTTTTTTATTTTTTTTCCCTTTTATTTCAGCATATTATGGGGGTACAGATGTTTAGGTTACGTATGTTGCCCTTGGTCCCCCCCACCAAGTCCGAGTTTCAAATATGTCCATCCTTCGGGTGGTGCACATTGCACTCCTTGTGTATACAAATACCCGTCCCCTCCTCCCTCTTCCCCCCTCCCCCGTGCCCAACATCCAATAGATGTTATTCTTATATGTGCATTTATGTGTTGATTAGTTAATACCAATTTGATGGTGAGTACAAATGGATCCCGTTCTTCTTCTCTTGTGGTGCCCCACTTTGGATAATGGGCTTAAATTTAATCTAGGAAAGTATAAGAGGTGCTAGATCACTGTCGTTTCTTATGATTGAGTAATATTCCATTGTAAACATATACCAAATTTTGATAATCCACTCATGGATTGATGGGCACTTGGGTTGTTTCCACATTCTTGCAATAGTGAATTGTGCTGCCATAAACATTCGGGTGCAGATGTCTTTATCGTAGAATGTTTTGTGCTTTTTTGGGTAGATGCCTCATAGTGCTATTGCTGGATCGAATGGTATTTTTTAATTTACTTTTAATTTCAAAATATTAAGGTGGTACCAGTGTTTTTATTACATGGATATCTTGTATAATACTTAGGTCTGGGCTTTTGGTGTGCCCATCACCAGAATAGTGTTCACTGTACCCAGTAGGTAAGTTTTTATCCCACACCCACCCTTCTGCCCTCCTCCCCCCTTTTTGGTTCCTAATGTCCTTTATATCTCTTTCTGCCCGTGTGTGCCCATTGTTTAGCTCCCACTTATTAGTGAGAGAATATGGTGTTTATTTTTCCATTCCTGAGATACCTCACTTAGGATAACAGCCTGTATTTTTATTTTCTTAATGATTACTTTTGAAGAGCAAATGTTTTAAATTTTGATAAAGTAAAATTTATCATTTTTAATAGTGATTTTGGTGTCATAAAAACTTCGTCCAACTCAAGATCGCAGAGATTTTATTCTATGTTTTCTTCGAGAAGTGTCATAAATTTAGGTCTAGGATGGATTTTGAGTTAATTTTATGTACGGCATGAAGCAGTCCTGAGTAATTTTTGTGCAGGTGTGGAGAACTCGATAGTTCTTTCTTTTCCATGCGGATATGCACTCATTTCAGTCCTGTTTGTTGAAGCTGTCATTCGCCCCCATCCAGTTACCTTGATATCTCTGGTTAGAATTAATTGACCCTGAATGAAAGGTTCAAGGGTAGACCTCTATTCTGTTCCACTTGTCTGTAGGTCTGTCTTTATGTCAGGATCACACTGTCTTTATCACTACAGCTTTACGGTAAAACTGGATGTCTGGTTGTGTAAGTTCTGCAATTTTGTTCTTTTTCAAAATTGTTTTGCCTGGTATAGTCGTCTAGATCCTCTGAATTTCCACACACATGTTAGGATCAGCTTGTCATTTCCACTAAAAAAGGGCCTGCCAGGGTCAGTAGGAATTGTGATTAGTCTGTAGATCAGTTTAGGGGAAAACTGCTCTTTAACAATATTTTTTTTGCAATCTGTGAATGCTGTATATCTTTCCATTTAATGGATTGTCTTCAACTTCTCTCAGCCATGGTTTATAGCTTTCGGGGTATATATTTGCACCAGTTTTGTTAAATTTGTTCTTTTTGATAATATTGTGAAGGGAATAGCTTTTAAATAGAACTCAGATTTTTCATTGCCAGTGTATAGAAATGACTAAGTGTTGCATCTTGATATTGTGCCCTGCAACCTTGCTAAGCTACTTTATTATTTCAACTGGTTTTAAATTTATTTTTCGGGATTTTGTTGCCTGCAAATAAACACGGTTTTACTTTGTATTCTGTATGCCTTCATTTTTCCTGCTCTTTTGTGCTGGCTGGAACGTTAGTGCAGTGTCCAAAGTGGTGGGAGGAGGCATGCTCGCTGTCCCCAGTCCTGGGAGAAGCGTTGAGCCTTCCTGTGACCACACACTCATGTAGCCACACACATAACCTCACACACCACACACACCATACAGACACACACAGCCTCACACGGAGACAGGTGCACACACATCACAGAGTCTTAGGGCCATACCAAGAAGGAAGCAAAGGAGTGTGGCTGTGGGGTCCCCAGCCCTGGACAGACTTGAGGCGCAGGGACAGCGGTGCCTGGTCAGTTCCTTCCTCCGTGCGCACTGGTGGATCCGTCTCGGCTATGCTCTCCAATTGCTCTTTGCGGTTCTGTGTGATATATTCGAACGTGCTCAACTTCCTGGACACTAGACGGGAAGGAGGACAGGGCAGGGTCCCCAACCCGCAGCCGTGCACAGCGTCCCCACGACAGCTCAGCTCTGCCTGCTACGAGGCCCTGTGTGGCCAGGACAGGGTGCAGCTGCCTTGTGGTCCCTGCTCTGCCGCCAGCTGAGGAGGCACGCGGGCATGCGGGGGGCCTGGGGCAGGGGCTCTTCTGTGTCTGCTGCCCCCCGAGGGACCACGCCTGGCCGGCATTGCGAGCGTGGGTGGCAGCAGAGGGGGCCACCCCAGAGCCCCGCATCACTGGAGGGCAGCTTGGGAAGGGCCACTGTGTCTGAGGGTCCAGGCAGCCGGTGGGGGGTCCTGGCGTCTGGACGCGGTGTGCTGTGCACCTCGGGGGGTGCACAGACAGGACTGTGGGGCGGGACTGGCTGCACAGGTGCTGCCACCAGCCTGAGGCCACACTGCTGGGTCCTGGGACCACACAGCCCCGTGGGTGCTCGCGTACCGGGCGTTGCAAAGGGACGCCTCCCTAAGGCATTTTTTGTTCTCTCCCCAATACCTCAGCCTTTCAGAGGTGCAGCCTAAAGAGCAGACTTGACCAGCTTCTGCACGGGCCCCTGGCGACTCACCACCGTCACCAGCAGCTCACTCTCGAACAGGACACCGCAGACCCCATGCCTTCCAGCCCCACAAAACCTGGCCTGCTACAAATGCCCTCACCCTCCCCTCCCGTGCCACGGCCGACATTGCTTGCATCCAGGCTTGCCTCCTCCTCCCTTGGCAGTGCTCCTGGCCTCACTCATCGCCTTTCTGTGTGGACAGCAACCAGGCCAGGCCGGACCCCCTTGGATTTGGTGACAGAGCAGACGCCGGCCCGAGAGGTGAGTGTGGAGCCCTGGCAGGGGCCGCCAGCTCGGTCTTTGCCTCCAGCGGGGGCAGAAGCACCCCAGGGCGTGAGACGTGTTTATCAATAAAGGAGCGATATTGATAAAAATGGGTTCTGTGCCTATTGCAGCCACGTGCTTCCTTGGAGAAGCCAAACTTTCCTTTTTCTTTCCCTAAAAACCAACAAACATGAGAACAGATGGTTTATACTTATTTCTAGAAAATGAAGAGGGCTGCCCCCGAAGTCCATTTGCAGCTCAGGGCCTGAAGGGTCAGCAGCCCCGCCTGTGCCCGGAGGGTTCCTGCGAAGGTTTTGTTCTTGGGCCTGACTCATCTGCCTCGATTGACTCCCGGGCTGTCATTTCTTCCTCGGCCCCTCGCAGCTTGTGTCATGGCTTGAGCACACAAACTTGCCTTTGTTTGTATTCTATTTAAAATACTCGCTCTTGTGCCCGGGTTTGCAGAAATACCGTCAAAGCCGGATCGTAAGCACGCCCTGGAACCTTCCGGAGGCCGCGCTCAGCCTGGGTAAGTGCCACGGGAAACAGTTAACACACTGACTGCCACACTAAAAACAAAGAAAGAGAGAAAGAAAGAAAATTTCCCTGGGGCCATGGAGTTTTGTTAAAACAACACGATCCTTTCTAATTTGTTATTTTTTATTGTTTTCTATGTGTGAGTCATATGCAATGCAATCCACATTGTTAGAATTAAATTGTCGATATTACTCGTAACAATAAGAACATCAACAAGTAAGATTTTCATGAACCAACTGCAGGGTTTTGCTTCATGCGGCCCTGGGCTCAAAACCAGCCTGAGTTAAATACAGTCATTGTGTTAAACTGATAAAGTAGAGGGGGAGAGACAGCCACAAGCTTCAGACCTTCCAGCGGGAACCTGATGCCAGGCGACTGTCCCCCGGTGTGACCGGACGCTCCCTCAGCTCCGGCGCCTGGGAAACCCTGTGCTTCCTGAGCTCAGCCAGCGGGTTTGCTCCTCATAGCTCTGGTTGGCACCCCGTGGCACACGCCTTCCCAGGGATCGCATCCTTGCCATGCTGAGCTGAGGACTCACTGGGGAGTCTGTCCCCTGAGCTTCAGTGGCTCCCAACAGCCCACCCTGGGTGCTCAGGCCTTGTGGCCCCAACCCTGAGTGGCAGTTGGGCCTGGCAACTGCCGCCCAACGAACAGAACACAGAGGTGGTGCTGGGACGCCGCTGCCCGGAGTGAGAGGAGCGCACAGAAGGCCGACTCGCACTGCCCTGGCGCGAGCTCTCCGGCCTCCCGCTTGCTCACCCGCTCGGATGGGCGCCCTAGGAGAGCCCACGGGGCTCAGAGTGAAGGAGAAGGTGGCTCCTGGCTGGCAGCCCAAAAGGAACTGCTCTGATCCCCACCTTACGGGGACTCAGGGCAGACCCCCCAGCCTGCAGGTGAGAGCGCAGCAGCACGCGGTGGCAGCCTTGTGAGGGACCCTGCGCAGAAGGCCCCGCTCCAGCACTGGACTCCTGACCACACAAACCGGTAGGTAAAAAATAGGTGTAGTTTTAAGCTGCTACATTTTAGGGTAGTTTTACTATGACTGATGATAACTAATACATCACCTTTGTCCTGGAAATCTATTCTTCGATGTGCAAACACCCTAACGTCAGCGTGTGCCTGACTGGTCAGGAGAACCTGGCTGGGCTGTCCTCCCTCTCGAAGGGGGAGCAGGCCCCACGCCAGCCTGCCCGTCCTCAACTCACCCCCGCTGGCCACTAGGTCCTGCCGGGTTTGAGACGGTCCTCGCATCTCACCGCATCTGTCCTGTGAACTCATCACTCATGTCTGGACTGGCAGCAGCAGGCTCCGGGCCGGCTTGCTGCCCCTGGTGTGTCCCTCCAGGCTGGGGACACACGGCTGCAGGGTGCTAGCTCCCAGGGCGCTGTCACTGCTCTCCCCACACTGTCAGTGTGCTCCGGTGCTTCCGGAAGAGCCTCAGCAAGTGGGACTTGCGGGTTCTGTGGTTCTCTGGCTCTGCAGAGGACGCCCCCACACTAGACAAGCTCGAGTGACCACAGCAGGCCGCCGCTGGTGCCGTCCTCTCATGGAGGCCACAGACGCGGGCGGGGTGTGCTGGCAGGGTGGCTGCACTGCCTTGCAGTGGGCGTCCGGGGCCTCTTCCTCAGCCCCGCCTGCTCAAGCGCAGGTGCCCGGGCAGCCTCACGGCCCTGGGGCTGTGCTGCCCAGCCCAGAGTCACAGTCCCCTGGGTCCAGAGGTGGCTGACCCCCCAGGGCCAGCTGGACCGAGACCAGGGTCAGCTTTTGGGGAGGAGGCCATTAGGTGCGCCCCCCACCACCACGCCAGCACTGAGCAGAGCTGGCCGCAGCTCTGCCTCCCCCTCGATTCCCCCTGGGAGCCCCCAGGAGTCCTTCTCAGAGCCCCTCAGGCTGTGGACGAGCCGAGTCCAGCGTCAAGGGCCTGTGGCCAAGGCAAGTTGGGCTGAGGAGTCGCCTGACGGGCAAAGCTGGGAAACGCCTGGCTGTCCTGGAGGCAAGCGTGCTGGCCGCAGAGCCACCTGCATGTCCCTTCCTGTCTCTGTGGCTCAAGGAGCCTGTCGGAAACACCACCGCCTGGCTGAGGACCAGCCCGGGCTTCCCTTCAAATGCTCCCACGTCCCTGGTCCCCTGACGCTTCCCCGAGGCTCTAGCCCTGACGGAGGCTGCCGGGGCAGAGCTGCTCCCAGTCCCCGGCGTGAGGTGCGCGCCCTGCAGAGGACGGGAAGGGACTGGCCGGCTCCGCAAGAGCTGCAAAGACTTGGTCTCCTGGGACCAGCACATCCTTGAGGGAAGCAGCCTGTGTGCTGTGTCCCCAAATGCCACCAGTGTGGACGCCTCCACCGGCCTCGGGCAGAGCGCCTGGGCAGGGCAGCCAGGGCGTGAAGCAACAGGCGAGGCGTCTACACCTGTGGTCTAGGCACAGAGGTGCCCATTCTGCCTGCTGGGGGATGTGGCCAGGTATCCAGGAGCGAGAAGGGTACTGGTGTCAGGCCCTCTGGTTCCAGCCCAGGCTGCTTCCCGTGTGGCCTTCAGAGCCTCCGCATTCCCAACCAAAAGGGGGAAGATGTGGAAGGCGGTCAGCTCTGGGCACGCCCTCTGGGTGAGGTCCCGTGGGGCCCGTTGCTAGTGGAACGTCTCACATGCAAAGTGCAGCCAGCATGGGCAGGTGGCACTGGTGCTCTGGCACATCCGTGGGTCCCACCCCCTCTAGTTCCACTCTGAGCAGAAGCAGAGTCCACCAGGCTGGGCGCTGTCCCCGGGACCTCTCCGCCTCTGCTCTCTGCTTGCCCCAGAGGCCCCCGCACCCAGCTGGTGTGCCCTGCCTGTGCCTCCACCTCTGGCGAGCGCTCCCTGCCCACTGACGCACACCAGCCCCAAGGCGCTCAGCACACGGGGCATCAAAGCAATTTCCACTGGGAATCAATTTTTACCACAAAATTGAGAAAAAAAAAAAAGAGTGACAAGTACTGAGTTGGCATTACCAGACAGGTCGGCCCCACTGGCCTGAGGCATGTGTGGGCAGGACCGTGTGGTCCCAAGACGCACGGCTCTGGCTCAGTTGGTTCTGCTTTGTTGGGGGACAGTCGCCCCAACTCTAAGGTCTGAGAACGAGAGATTCCTTGATAAAGGAGGAGATGAATTCTGCATGGGATAAATCTCCAGGAAAGACCTCATCACTGGTAAACCCAAACCATTTAAATGTAAGGGAAACTTCTACACAATTTTAGAAAGTAGTATTTTCTAAAATTCCTGATTATAACAGAGGCAGAAGGTTTTGAAGGCAGCCACGACTCCTCACTCTTCAGGGTTTAAGCTGCAAGGAATGGGCCAGGAGCTGCCCAGCCCTCCCCTGGCCACGACATCTGCAGACCAGGCAGCAGGCAACCTTCCATCCAAACAGACGCGCCTCCGCGAAATCGCGTCTGAGGCTGCGGTTCTGTTCCAGTCAGTAAACGTACACGAAGCACCTTCTACACACACGCACTGACTGTGCCGTTCCTAATGAACATTCTGAAAACATAGCTTTGAGAATTGTGCCCACACCGGTTTAATCCAGTCGTCGTCATTGTACTCGTTTAAAAATTTCCAAGCCTCGGGCAAGACGACAGTAACCCCAAGATTTCCATTAGAAATGTGTGCTCTAAAATATTCTCTGGTTGTATGGTGATAGTGGTTTGTGGGAACAGGGGCTTTCTCAGTGAGGGGAGTTTACTTTGTGCCAGACACTGTCCCCACTACCGCAGGCCGGGGCCACCCTGGGCCAAGGGGGTGGGGTGAGACGAGAGCCCACCCTGCCTGGCTCTCTCCACCCCGGAGGGGATGGACAGGGCGTTCGCAGGAGCCTGGAGCCGCTCCGGCCTGGCCGCTGGCCCCTGTGATATCCTCTGAGACTGCTGCCCAGGGGCTGACCCACTGTGGCAGAGAACTGGTGTGCCAGAAGGAGGGACGTGGTTGTTACTTCCAAAAAAAAGCTTCCTGCCATGGAAGAAACTCCACCTTCCCCTGTCCCGCATGACGAAGCGCCTGCCAAACCCCTCTCTGCCTCAGTGCTTGTTAGCAGATAACCTGTCCATGGAGACTAGTCATTTTCATTGCTAGAATTTCCATTCAGTGCTTTTAAAAATCCACCTATTCTTTCTTCATAATGTCCTATTTTTGCCTAGTAGGTTCTATTCCTTTGTCTCTTTGAACATTTTAAATCTATTAATTTGGAAACCTCTCTTGTGTTTTCTGCAGGTCTTGGAACATGAATTCAGCTCCTGGCTGGACCTGCTGAGCCTCTGGTGGCATTTCTTTTCTTCCTGTGATTTGTCCATTTTGCCTATGATCTCATTTCTGGCAAGGGCTGGCCTAGGAGCCGCCTGCCTGGGACAGGTGGAGACATGAGGGCGGGGCTGGGGACACGTACTCAGGTAGAGGTAGAAGATCAGTAGATGCCTGATGACGATGAGGCTGCCAGTGTCTAGCAGGACGGTGGAAATGAGGATGCATAACATGACATGCGTATCAACTGCGACGGGGAAGAAGGGCAGGAACCGCAGCCATGTGTTGGTGCCCCTGAGATCTGTGGAGACAGAGGCCCCGTCTGTCCAGCCCCTGCTGACGCAGCAGCCCTCGGATCAGCCTGGGGTGCCGCCCCACCCGGCGTGACTGCCTCGCCCAGGCCCGGCCCCTCCTGACCGCAGCTGCTGTCACAGTCCCCACTCCAGAGCGCAGGAGGGAAACCGAGTGCCCAGGTTACAAGCCCGGCCCCGCTGGCCCAACACCCACGCCCTGCACAGGCCCACCTGCCTCCCTGGGCCCCTCCATTCTCAACCAGGGGGCCACAGGCCTCACCTGGGGGCATCTCTAGGATGGCTCTCGGGACCCTGGGGCAGCCAATATTCAAAGCCATACCACTTCCAAAAACCAGGTGTGAGAAAGTGGCCGGGGCTTCATGGGGCTAGGCTGGACCCCACTCCGCCAGCAATGTCACGATGGGTCCAGCTCAAGGGAGCGAAGCAGAGAGACTTGGCTTTTCTCAGGGACCTGGTGGGGATGAAGCCCTGTGGAATCTTCCAGAACAGTAAACGCAGGAAATCGCCTCAGTCCACAGTCAGGAACTTGCATAGCGCCAATCACACTCCCGTGCAGAACCGGCGTGTTCCCAGAGAGAAGCCATGGCCAACAGCTCTGCCTTCCATCCCTCCCTCCTTGCATCCTACCGAGCGAGAGGCCAGGCAGCGTGGAGGCTGTCTGGGAAGACGACTCCTTAATGCACCAGGCAGTGGCGCGGGGCTCGAGGGCGGGCGCACCCAGTGGAGCCCCCTCAGAAAGCTTCAGGAGCGTCTGAGCAGCCCTGGGGGTCACAGTCGGCTGTTCCCAGCGGGTGGAGGAGCTGAAGGGCCTTCCACACAGGAGGGGCAGAGCTCACTCTTGAAAGAGCATTGCACCATGTTGGCTCTGGGAATGTTCTAGAATGAGTGATGTGCAGGTCCTGGCCCTCTTGCTGTGTGGGCTGGGCTCTGACGCCCTACAGAAGCCATGCCTGGGGCTGGCACAGGTGGCCTCGATCCAACCCCAGGACAGGGAGACGAGGCGGCTGCGATCTGACCCCGAGTGACGGCTCCTCCTCAGATGCTCAAAGGTCAGGGTCCTGTGGCTGTCACGACAGACGGCCAACCCTGGGGGGCTTCGGCAACATCATCCTTTCACGTATGAGGCCAAGTCTGAGAAGCAGGTGTTCCGGGCTGCGCTCCCTCCAGAGGCTCGAAGGGAGGCTCCTTCCTGCCTCTTCCAGCTCCTGGGGCTCCAGGCATCCTTGGCTTGTGGCCGCATCACTCCAGTCTCTGCCTCCGTCTCCATGGGGCTTCTCCTCCATGTCTGTCTCTTATGAGGACACTTGTCACTGGATTTGGGTCCTCCCAGATAACCCAGGATGATCTCCTCATCTCAAGATCCTTAATCACATTTGCAAAGACCCTTTCTCCCATAAGGTGACTGTTACAGGTCCGGGGTTAGGACGTGGACACCTCTCTGGAGGCCACATTGAGCCCCACACGCCTCTCCCTCTGCTACTGCAGACATCTGCTCCCCAGGCCCGGGCGCCTGGGCACGCTCAGCAGAGAGCGCCATGGAGCTGCCCCTCCGAGCCCACGCCCTGCACCACCAGCCCCATCCGCTCTCCCCTCTCCTGCAGGGGGCGCCCGCCTTCCCCGCGCCCGGGGGCTGGGCAGGACAGGGCCATCGACGCCTGCAAGGGGTGCCCAGCCAGGACACAGGCCTTGCCGGCTCTGGCCCTCGCCCTCCCGCTGGTGCCAGCTGGGCTGACCCCTCCCAGAATCAACACTCTCGCCCCGGAAGGTGGCTGGAGCGTGGGCTGGAGGCCGAGTGTGGACACAGCAGCCCCAGAGCATGGCGGCAGCAAACCTGTCCACTCCGGGTCCGCGCGGAGCTGGTCTGGGTCCGTGTAGAACTGCACGAAGACGTACAGCAGGACGGCTGTGACGCAGACCAGGCCGACCGAGGCCGAGGTCACCAAGCTGAAGAAGAACCTGAGGAAGAGGCAGAGGCTGGGGCCGGGGCACATGAGCCAGCCGAGGACCGACGGGCCAGGGGCTGGCAGGCCACCCGTGAAGAGAGGGCCCTGAGCACTCCCGCCGCCCTCCGGCCCGCCCTGCTCTGTGCCCCACCTCTCACCGTTCCCCGTCCTCTGGGCAGATGGCCCTGACTGGCGATGACTGTTGGTCACACTGAGAGTTCCACACTGCCTCGCAGTTTCCACAGTGCTGTCTGCAGACATGACTTCATTTGATCTCGCCAGGGGGGTTTTGGGGGGGGGGGCCGGCCTTTTTCACAAGTAGGGAAACTGAGGCTTGTAGACACTGCCTGTCATGCCCAGGCCAACCTGGCCAGCTGGGCGTGGCCAGCCCCAGGGTCAGAGCTGCGTCCGCAGTGCCCACCCCTTGCTTTGTACAGACCAAAGAGGCATCTTCCCAGCTGAGGAACCAGACCCTGCCATGATCCAGCATCCAGCCCCAGGAGGCAGCAGGCCGGCCATGGCCAGCGCCAGCGCAAGCGGGAGGATCCGCCCGCCTCTGGCCACCTGGCGCTGCCCCTCTCCAGGGGAGGAGGAGGGGCGGGGCCGCCCAGCTCCCTCCTAGTCGTGCAATTCCGCCCGGACACTCGTTCTCTCCTGCGTCTCCGGGTCTCCCGTGCAGCATGGCGGGTGGGCAGAGGGAGCTGAATCTCCACAGCACATGCTGACACTCGGCCTGGACCGGCAGCCTGCTCTCGCGCCCCAGCCGAGGCACCTCTCAGATCCGGCACAGATTAGCAGGGGATCTTCATGTGCTGATGGACAACCTGGCTCGGAACGCGGGGCCCCGAGAGCCCCGCAGAGCCTCTGCCCTGTGTGCGGGGGAAATGCTTGCTCCGTGCTCCGCGGTCTGACCACCTGCTCTCAGAGGTCACGGCCTTGGCACAGAGGAGGCGACTTCAGGGGCCTCGGCCTGCCTGTGACCCTTGGGCGGGGCTGGCACCTTGCTGTCCATAATGGGGTCCCTAAGGATTGATTCCGTGGGATGAGCTAGACCTGGCATGTCCAAGGGGTGCTCCACAAACACGTGTCAGAACAGAGCAGGAGACCAGAGGGGCAAGGACGCTGAGCTGTGCCATGCAGGGGGACAGGAACGTGGTTCCAAGAGGACCCCTCCTGTCCACAGCCCCCCCACCCTCTCACCCACAAAAACCCCACTCCCTCCTGCGTGCCCACTGTGGCCTCTGTGGGCCGTCCTCGGCCCCTCCTCACCGGCAGTTCCTGGTGCCCACGCAGTAGCTCAGCCATTTGCAGTGGCGGTCAAAGCCTGTCTCACACTTGTTGCAAGAGCTACAATGTTTTGCTTTCAGGCTCCTGGAAGGAAGAGTTGAGGAAGCGCCTGTCAGCCTTGTGTTCAGGCTGGGGTGAGATCAGAGCCCTGTCCTCAGGCCTGGGGTGCCACAGGGGACCAGCCCCATGTGGCATGGGGAGTGGGTGCCCAGCAGGGAACTGGAGGCCCACTGAGGCCTCTCCCTGGGGCCAGGGGAGGGCAGCAGAGGCCCGCGGGGGAGCAGGAGAGACAGGGACAGCTGTGGGTGGCAATAGCTGCTGCAGAGGGGGAGGAATCCCCATGCCCCAGGGGCGGGCGCCACTCTGAAGGGACACCCCCAGCCTCCCTGTGACCCCCACACACACACTCGGTGAGGGCCCGGAGGAGGCCACGCCTGCCACGTGGTGCTGGGAGTCGAGGCTGCGGCCTGCATCCCCCCTGTGCCTACCGGCTGCCCCGCAGCCTCACGCAGCCCTGCAGCCCCCGGCCCCAGGCTGCCCACAGATGTGCCCAAGGCCCCGGAGACCCTGACCAGCCACCAGTTTCCCTCCTCCCTGGGGAGGGGGAAGGAGGCTCTTCCTGGAAACCCCAAGAAAGACAGCCCTCCCTTGCCCTGGACTAGGGGGGACTGAGAATAAAACGTCCTAGGGACAGACACCCATGTGCCAGCCCCGCCCCAGGGTCAAAGGCTGGAATGCTTTGCAGCGCAATCGCCTGTGCGGAAGCAGACACACGGCCCTCGCGCCGGCCGGTCCGCCTCAGAAGCAGGAGCAGCAGCAACATCCACCTCCCTGGGCAGAGCCGAGAGTTTCAAGGCAGCACCTGCCGGGCTCCGACCCTGAGAGGCCAACAGCCTCCGAGCCCCCACGCCCCGGAGGTGACCCCCACCCCGGGGCTCCGCGTGAGGGGCACTCACACGAAGACCTCGCACAGGTGACAATATTGGTCTTCAATCACATGCTCGTGCTTAGAACGGTCAGAAGGGGGCATTAAGTCCAGGTGGTTCTTCAGTCTCATGTTGGGCTCGGCAGGATCGATGGTGGCGGTGATCGAGTGGATGATGACATGGAAGAAAGATGCTCTGCCAGTCACTGGGAGGGGTCGAGGAAGAACGCGGCCCTGGCCGGTGGTCAGCACCGCCACAGACGAGTGCTGCGCACCCGGGCCCCGCTTTGGCTCATTGCTGTTCCTCCCCGTGTGCCTCCCGCGGCGGGCGCGTCGCCACACAGAAGGCACCACGGCTGGCCAGGATGACGCAGCAGTGGCTGTGCTCGCCCTGCGCACGCGGCCCGACCGGCCAGGACAGGCCACGTGGGATGCTGTGGGGCCCCTTCGTCCCAGAGCTGTGAGCACTGCGGTGGGAAGAAGGGGGCAGGAAGGGGCAGAAATCCAAGGACCCAACCCCGTCAGCCTAGGCCACGCGGGTGCTCTCTCCCCAGGGCCTCGGACGCTCAGGGTCCCTCTGACTCGTCTCAAGGGCGGCCAGAATGTCTCTCTCTCTGGGCCCTGCGCTGTCCAGCCTGGCTCGAGTGGCCATGTGCTGAAAGAGTCTTTGTCCCCTGGAGCCAGGACACAGCTGTAAAGAGGAAAATCAGCCCTCAGACCCCCTCCCCTCCTCTCCAGCTGGGACCCACACACCTTCACCTAGACGGAGCAGAGGGGTGGAGAGTGCAGGGGCCACACGTCACCCCCGCCTGCCCTGGTCCAACCTCTGAGCCAGGGGACTCCAAGGGGCTCCTCTGCAGTGTGGCCTGGGCTTGGTGCTGGGGCGTAGGGTGCTCCTCCTGTCCCCAGAGGAGGGGAATGAAGGCTGCTGGCCGCGTGCCAAAGGCTCTATAGGGGTTTTAGCAGAAAGGGCCACAGGCGGGGCAAGTCCCAAGCCAGGAGAGGGGATGGCTGTGAGTCCTGACCAAAGCGCCTTCTCCATAGACACCTGCACACACCCCATGTACACCTGTGCAGCCCCCCCACAGACCCCTGCACACCTGCACACACCCCATATGCACCTGTACAGCCCCCCCACACACCCCGCACACCTCACATACCCCGATTACACCTGTGCAGCCCCCACACACACCCCGCACACCTGCACACACCCCATATACACCTGTGCAGCCCCCACACATACCCCACACACCTGCACACACCCCATATACACCTGTGCAGCCCCACACACACCCCACACACCTCACACACCCCATATACACCTGTACAGCCCCGCCCACACCCTGCACACCTGCACACACCCCATATACACCTGTGCAGCCCCCCACACACACTCCGCACACCTCACATACCCCATATACACCTATACAGCCCACGCACACACCCCGCACACCTGCACACACCCCAT